TTTTCGAAAATGAACAAAATTAATTCTGGTGATCAACCTGCAAATAAACTCCGGTTGACCGTTGTCAAAGTTAATTATCACAAGATCCAATCGTACGAGTTGGCCACACATAATCCGCCAATAATTACCAATAAGGAAAGGTCCTGTAACACTGAGAAAACCCATGACAAAGCTCGTCACATTCGAGACAAAGTTCTAGAGAAGAACTGTCTTCTCTTCAGCCAAATCTTGTCTCAAATCCCACGAAGCTGGCCACGGTTTTCCCGGTCAGTCGGTGAAGTGATTACACAACACGAGCCTCGTTTACGCTAACGATATGCAGGTTGGAGGTTGCAGAGACGCCGTTCAGGATTTAATCAGGTATCAGATAAATGAAATTTATGTTACATTAGATTAACAAATAATAAAATGAAATGTTTAAGATTATGCAGTTAATAATTTTAGCCAAACACAAAAATTTAGTAAGTTAAAACCATCTTATTGTGGACATGGGGATAACGATCTTTGTGGAAGCACTTGCGGCAAAATATATTAATTTTTTTTTGCCACACTTCGGGAGTGTTCTTAGGACAGCTGCAAAGTTGGATTGTTTTACAGAATAAATTCTTAATAGGAACTACTGAAAGTTTTCAAAGTATGCAATGGACGCCTAAAATTGAGCACAGGTCAAAACTGATCACATACAAGGCATCTATACTATTATTCAACAAATATTAGGACATGATTTGAACTTCAGAAGAGGCCTAGAAACGAAAAATTCCTTTACTGCGACCAAGCTACGACCACAGATGGGAATTTTATCTCAATTTAAAGCTGGAGCTTAAATCCTTTAAATAAACTTGAAATTTAATAGAATTTTGCTTACTTAAATGTCAAACTTTTTAATCGTAGCTCCAAATTCATCAATTTAAAAACAAAGTTCATAAAAAAATGTTTGATCTGAATTGAAATGGAATTTCCTGACTTCTGAACGATGTCTCTGGATAAGCAAGCACGAAAGAAAGCAGAAGCAATGAAGGCCGAGACCTTCACCGCCAAGAAGAGCTAAGCGATGAAGGCCGAGACCTACAGCGTCAAGAAGAGCTAAGCGATGAAGGCCGAGGCCTACAGCGTCAAGAAGAGCTAAGCGATGAAGGCCGTGACCTACACCGACAAGAAGAGCTAAGCGATGAAGGCCGAAACCTACAGCGTCAAGAAGAGCTAAGCGATGAAGGCCGAAACCTACAGCGTCAAGAAGAGCTAAGCGAAGAAGGCCGAGACCTACAGCGTCAAGAAGAGCTAAGCGATGAAGGCCGTGACCTACACCGACAAGAAGAGCTAAGCGATGAAGGCCGAGACCTACAGCGTCAAGAAGACCTAAGCGATGAAGGCCGAGGCCTACACCGTCAAGAAGAGCTAAGCGACAAAGCACGATGTCTTTGCTATTCCAGAAGTGGTAATAGTTACTATCTATCGTGTGTCGTTCCATTCAATACTATAATATTTATAGCCATCTTGTCAATACATGACTGTTTGCACAGTTTATAAATTCATTGGCCACAGGGACTATATATTCCGCATGTAGGTCGATAGACAAATGTTCGGCAGTACCGCGCACCGACGTACAATGCATAGAAAAGAATCCGAGACGTTTTGAGCCATAAGTAGATACTTTGCGAATATTTTAATGAAAAAATATAATAAGTAAATTTGTTTAAAAATAATATTGAGTTTATTTAACATATCAGCGCGAATAATTGTAGCTGCTGCTACAAGCTGGGCAAATTCGATGTTAACGCTAACAGGCGAGAAAACTTGCAGCAATTTAGATACGAAGCCAAATTGCTGCCTTAATAGCTTTAAATTATACATAAATTCCGAGTCGATTTGTTTAAATATAAATCGAGAAACTCAATCAAATTGTATTGAAACTTGTTGAAATTTTTAACTGTTCAGTATTTTTGATTTTTAAATTCCTTTACACGAATGGATGCAATAATTCAAAGCTTTGCTTATGTATATTATTTAATTGTTTAGTTTATATGCCAATTATAGCTATACAAATCTGTATAGTAAATAGCGAGTGTAACATGAAGTGTAAAACTGCAACAGCAGATCAGCCATTGTGCACAAGGCTGCATAATTGAAAAAGTGCGATATTAGGATTATTACTGCTAGTTGTGGAGAGCATAATATTGCATTATCCAGCGTGCTTCAAGTTAATGCTACTTAATAATGAATAGCTAGGGCTATAGAAGTGCAAGGAGAACGATGAACAGTTGAAACCAGCAGTGCAAAGCAACACGTACTGCAGTGCATAATAATTCATATTAAACATTGAAACTAACAGTGCAAAGTCCGTAGACCAAAATGTGCGAGTATAATAAAAGGTGCATTTTCTAACAAGAATTTAAGGTGCGAGTTTCATGCAGTGCCTTCCTTAAAATTAGTGCAGATTTCTTTACTTGAAACTGTGCAAAAGCATCGAATCAAACTACACTGAGGAAAGCATAGGTCTCGACAGTGTAGTGCACAACACGGTGAGAGTGTAAAGTATTATATATATTATGTAAACACAAAGTTCAATTAAACTTAAAATAACAAATACGACAGATCAGTGGTACAGGTGCAATTACAAAGAACAACTACGTTAAGTGCTTCAACTGTGAGGAGTAGAACAATACAATATTTAAACCTATGTGCTCGAAGAACAATCAACATGGACGAGGTGCATCGTTTAAGAACAATAGAACATTCTACTGTGAAAAGTGCAAATACAATTCAAGGATCATACAAGTACAAGGCAGTCTATACAAACTATGCATGTATACAATGTACGAGAAAGTGCAGTTTAGAAAGAAGCCAGTTTTCTCCAAAGCAATATTTGGGTCCAACCGAGTTCATTTCTTTATATAATGTGCAGTGCAATAATAAACTATGCAATATAATAAGATATCGGAAACACACATCACACTGATGAGTTCACGGGTAAGACGAAAAATTATTGAGTTTTAATAAGTATTGATGATGTCAATACTCGAGAAATACAATACAATTAATTATTACTCGTAAGTTCAAATACTCACAATTAAGTAAGATTTGTTTGCTTGAGATCATATAATTCTTATATTTGTATGTGTTTTGAATATCTTATTTCTTACGCCATCAAAAAACAACAGCGAATGCCTTCTGCTCTAAACAAATTTGCCGTTATTAATTGAATAATGTATAAACTAAGTTCTATGACATTATTTAGTTTTCAATGAGAGGATAAATAATCCGTAAGGGAAAATAGTTCCTAATTTTCCGTTTTAAAAAATAGCGTTCACATTTTCCGTTGAAATTTCCAATATTTATCAGGAATAAATCAAACGAAAAAATATATTTTCATCCATGTTAGTTTAACAATTTGTCTTCAATGAAGCAAGTGCAATAACAAGAAAATTACGAAGAAAATTTGAAAAAATTCTAAAAGATAAATAATACTTTTCTTTAAGAAATAATCTAAATTAAAAACTTTTGAAAAACTCGAGCATATAGAAACAATACGGAATGCAAGCGAGAGAACTTTTTAGAGGATGTTAATTTTGTAAGCAAAATAAATAAGGGTTTATTGAAATATTGCATAAAAGAGCAGGTTTTGAATACGCAGCTGAATTTCGAAGGTACTAAACTCAAATAAATGAATAGATCAAATTGTTCAAATTGTGAATAATTTTTTGTCTAGCCAAATGGGTCAGGATGACCCACAAAAAAGCAAAACGTACATCGTAATTGGACAAAAACTCACTTATTTCTCAGAGTGTTGCTTGGTAGGTTTCAGTTTGTGTCTTTAACACGACGAAGTTTTTGGCAACTCAGATAATTATTTATATCGAAATGTGTCATTAAATTAGATTATCATTCAAACTTTTTAATCATTAATTTTTTAAAGTAAAATAATTTTGAAACAGCGCCTCCATTAATTAACTGAGCTCTTTTCAAATTCGGAAAAATTTATCATGCCTGTGAGATTACAATACATATTTGTTGACACTAAGTTTGCTTTCATCTCTTAAAAATGTTTTTCCCTCTCTACATTAATGCAAAAATTAATGCACAATTTCATTAAAATTTCATGAAACTTATGTCTTCCAGAGCATGAAAGAACACCAAACTGCTAAAAATTGCGTTCATATACTTCATATACATATATGTATAAATTTATATATTTATATACTGTATAATTGAATTTCAGTTTGTATTTCAGTAGACATATTTCAGTAAACTTTCATTCAGCAAATGAAAATAGCTCAGTTAGTGCGACGAGCCCCGCGCCCGCCCGCTGCTGTGACGCACGGCCGAAAGTTCGACAAATAAAATTTTTTAGGATAATTTAGAAATTCATAAATTTCTAGATAATTTTAGTATTAGAATTATTTTAGCATTACAGAATTCTAACAATAACACTGATAGAATACATGCTGAATTCATTATCATCATACACAAATATTATATGATGATAATGAAAAGATAACAAATATTGCTCTACAAAGCACTAGGCTTGATCAATTACGCGTATTTTTCACGTAGCCTATAGAAATACCTCAAATAAAATAAAAATTTTCTGAACGTATCATTTCCATCCATATAGGTGGTAGCATCACAACGAATACCATGCATAACGAACCAAACGTTAGTTACGAACAGTTGCCCAACCGTTCGTTATATGTAACGAACTGTTACATGTAAATTACACAAAATCTTATAGCCGCTTCAAATGTATCGTATTCTTAAGAACTGTAATCATAGAAACCTGGACCCAGCTGATTTTTCTTCAGTTAACACATGGTAAATTTGCCAGAAGTTTCGTTACAAGCAGGCCTCTTGAGAATCTCTGCGGTAATCATTCTGTCATTTATATAAATAAAGTTCAGTGATGTGAATTTCATTTCACTTTAATAATAGATTCGAATTATTATATTATAATTCAAATATCGAAAGATAATCTACATAGATTTATATAGATTATTTATCGCTCATTATATATGTATATGTATAAATGCGCGATATAATCAATATCGCTGATTTTAAATGAAATCAGTATCATATCTTCAATACAATCGCCAACGGCATGCAGACATAATCAAGCATACTGTACAGGGAGTAATTGGAGCGTTCACTCACTTATGTACTGAAATTTCAATTATCAATTGGCTCTATTGATTTCATTTTATCTCAATGCAAGCATTATTATAGAGAATATTTTTGGCAAGAATTCTAATCCCTTGCAGCTGAATGATTTGTGTATATTGTAATTTTAATACAATGATGTTATTGGTTTTGAGTGCAAGCATTTATAGCCTATATTTAAGATACCCCAATCAAGCTCTCTAGTTCTCCAAATCCACGGCGCTAATATTCTTTACAGTTATAGTATTAACGAAATATTAATCTGAATTATAACTTTAGTAATTAATAAAGAAAGTTTAAGCAAAAATAGTCTCTGCAAATATAGATTTCTCTTATGAATTGCAGCAGAAGAAACATTTTAATCCCAACGATGGTAATAAGCGTTTACTACGCGGATACAATCTACTTACACGACGGTTTTTTACTCTAAATATCTCCTCATATCATGCCACACTACATTTATGCAGTATAGAACAAGATTTAAAAACATTGCAAACTCAACAATGTCATAATATCACAATCTGTAAAGGACAAGTAATTAACCTCTTGAAAAGGCATAAATAATATTTTTTAATTCTTTCCTCTAATTCTGACGTAGTATTTAGAACAAAGACAACAGTTCTATATTAAAGTGAACACTCTAGTGCTATACCTATGGCGGTGCCCTGCAAATCTTGTTCGCCGTTTCATGTTAGCCTCGCAACTTGGAACAGAACTTTCATCTAAGTTCAACTTCTGGATCTTTGACAACCTTTAGACTGCGTTTGATGTCACAATGTTTATTTAGATCACGTAATCGTCTTTTCTTTATTTAGCTATTTATATTATACTGAGTATTTTCATAATTCCTTAGGGTACTTTTTAAACTAATTGTGACTGCCATTTATTTTTTTGTTTCTCCAAAAATTAACTTGAACTGATGGGTACAATTTTCGATTTTATTGATTTTTATAACCAGTATCTAATCATCACAAGCTAGTTCTTTTTTATGAATACAATTTATTCATAATTTAGTCGCAATTTTAAGGTCAAATCAATGGTCATTAACTTTTATGGATGCAGCAATCAATCCACGGAATGTCAAACCATTTACAATTCATTTGATTTTGGGTGAATAATGCGAATTCAATTCAACTATTCCTTTCTTATCAGAGCGTTAGAACATTCAATTCCGCTGGTGGGGGCGACGATATGACGATACCATGTTTGATGTTTACATATCTTTTCCATGACGATCAAGCTACTCGATCACGAAGTCGATATCGTCACGACAAACGGCTTGCACAGGCTTGATGTTTACAAATCGTACCCAAGACGATCGAGTTCCTCTATCACGAAGTCGATATCGTCACGACAAACGGCTTGCACCGGCTTGATGTTTACAAATCGTACCCAAGACGATCGAGTTCCTCGATCATGAAGTCGATATCGTCACGACAAACGGCTTGCACCGGCTTGATGTTTACAAATCGTACCCAAGACGATCGAGCTCCTCGATCATGAAGTCGATATCGTCACGACAAACGGCTTGCGACGAGATGATGTTGCGGAAGAAGTTCGGGTGATCATCCAGGGGCTGATAGCCGATCATCAGCGATCCTGCGGTCATCATACGACCCTTCAGGATGGGCTGGACCTGCGGGAGGGATGGGTTAGTTATTAAAAGTATAGGTTTAATACATAATGTTTAGATAACATTGTTCCCAATAATTTTGTGTGGTTATAGTTGTCAATGCTTTTCTACAGTTTTAGTGGGTTATCAACCTAAAGCATTAGAGCACTAATTAATTTACCAATTTTAATGAATTCTCTCAAGAATGCCATTGAATTCATTGAATTACTATTTTAGAGCTAAGAGACCATTTACATCTATTTCTAAACTTCACACCATTCAATAAGCGCTCATTTTGATAACTTTCAAAGCTGAGCGGTTAGCTCTTAAATTTATTCAAATGACAGGACATTTCGACGCGGTTATCCACTTGCTCACCTCTCCCAGCAGCTTGTGGCGCTCAGGCCCCGCCTTCATGGTCCGCAGTCGGAACGGCACATACCAGAAGCAGACGTTCGTACACTCAGGCTCGTCGTTGAGCAGCTCAAACTTATCGCTATGGGCCTTCAGCTTCTCCACGAGATACGCGGTCATCTCGAACAAGTGGTCGATGTGCTTCTCGAACCCAGAGTCACCCTGACGTTATTAAAATGAATTAAATGTAATATTGCGAAAGAAAATGCAATATTGCGAAAGAAAATTCAACATTGCAAAAGAAAATGTAATATTGTAAGAGAATATGTAAAATTGCGAAAGAAAATGTACGAGTAATATTGCAAAATAAAATATAATATTGCAAAAGAAAATGTAATATTGTAAAAGTCATAATTAACATAAGCGAAAGTTATACACTTAGAAAGCCTTGATTTGAAAAGTTAATATCATATAAATTTAAGACAATTTACTCTAAGTTGTACACGCAGGAAGCGTAAGTTTAACATGAATATTATTATTAACCTTAGACCTCCAGAGCAACCAGAACTTGAAGATGTCATTATGACGGCCACATTGGATGACCTTATCACCCGTGTCGTAAGTTACGTCGTAAGGTTTGTCTTGCTGGAAGAGGTAGTCTGCGCACATTGAGTTGCATGATATCAGCAAACCCTGGAAAATATAACAAACAAATATTATTACCGTTTTAATTGGCAATATACCGATATTGTTGATTTATAATTAGTTGTTGATTATTAATTTAGAATCTAATATTCATGAAAAGTAATTTAATACGAAGCCCTGCTTGTGATCTTCCTACTTTATTTGTAATACTGTTGAAGTGCAACGCTAAACAAGCTAAATGAGCTGTTATTAGAACGCTTCAAAAATGTATAAAAAATAATAAAATTATGCACAATGTACGACACCTTCCTGAAAGAACACTGTAAAAAACACCATAAAGATATATAAAAATAATAAAATCATGCACAATGTACTGACATCTTCCTGGAAGTACACTGTAAAAAAACACCATAAAAATGTATGAAATATATAATAAAATTATGCACAATATACTAACATCTTCCTGGAAGTGCACTTTAAAAAACACCCAAATGATTTAAAAAACTAATAAATCATACACAATATACTAACATCCTCCTAGAAGTACACTTTAAAAAAACACCCTAAAAATGAATAAAACTAATAAGATCATGCACAATGTACTAACATCTTCCTGGAAGGGCATTTTAAAAAAACACCCTAATGATTTATAAAAAATAATAAAGTCATGCACAATATACTAACATCTTCCTGGAAGTGCACTATAAAAAACACCCTAAAGATGTATAAATCTAATAAAATTATGCACAATGTACTAACATCTTCCTGGATGGGCATTAAAAAAACACCCTAATGATTTATAAAAAATAATAAAGTCATGCACAATGTACTAACATCCTCCTGGAAGTGCACTATAAAAAACACCCTAAAGATGTATAAATCTAATAAAATTATGCACAATGTACTAACATCCTCCTGGAAGTGCACAGTGGAGCACTGCAGCAGGACCCCCATCAGCTTATGCGGGTTCCAAGTGATGCTCTGAGAGCGCTCTACGCCCGCCATCTTGTGTCGCGTGCTCTTGCTCAGTAGCACCCCGCCGCCCCATGCCGCCTGGTTAAAATCGATTACAACTTAGCATTTAAAACTAAAATGTTTTTCTTACTTTTAAAACTTTTTCTTGATAAAAATTTTATTCTAATGCATATTAAATGGCTGAACGGCATACTTTTTGTTATCGGCGTCAGAAAGTAAGTTAAACATTCGGAGTGAAATCCGTAGACTTTCTTTCGGCATGCAATCATTTGTGTTGATGTCATATGTTTGAATGAAGTAAAATTGGAGTTAACAACATTCACAAATGCAATTAATTTTGTTTGCAAAAGTTGATTCCGGTGCAATAAAAGAAAAGTAAAAACAAACTTATTTAAGATACTAAGCTGTCTGTCAGCCTCTTAACTTTTAATTACCTAGGTTAAATTAATTTCTCAAATTTTTGTCTCCCTTTATCAACTGAAGCCAGTTTATTCCTGCACTCACATCGACATGGAACCAAAGCTTGTGTTTATCGCAGACGTCGGCGACGGCGTGCAGAGGGTCGAACGCCCCCATGACGGTAGTGCCCGCCGTGGCGCACACGAAGAAGGGTGTGTTGCCCTTCGCCTTCTGCTCCTCTATGAGACGATCCAGCTCAGCTGGGATCATTCGACCTCTGGAAATTAGAGAGTAGAATAGATGAAACTTCATATCAATGGTGTGATTTATGTTAGTTCATAATTCTTGACATCGTAAAATATTTTATTTGACGAAAAATACATAATAATTTGAATTTCGTCTATATAAAATCTAGATTTAATTTATAACTTTTCTTATTTTCCAAGACTAGTTATGGGCTCACAGATATATATAATGTTTATTTTTAGTCTAATGTGTTATAATTTAAATTATAACTTATAATTGAGCTAATCTGACAATATTTAAGTGATTTATCATCGGCGAACTAATGTGTTACAATCAAGATAATGTGTTATAATCAAGATAATGCGTTATAATTAAGATAATGTGTTAGAGTCAAAATAATGCGTTATAATCAAGATAATGCGTTAGAGTAAAAAAATGTGTTATAATCAAGATAATGCGTTATAATCCTGAGAATGTGTTGTACATTAATTAATTAATATACGCCTGACGCACTTAGCGTCCACGGGCACCAGCACGAGGTTGTCAGTGCCCAGACCCATGGTTGCCGCGGCGCCCTTCAGCGAATAGTGGCTCTGGTGGCGAGTTTTATTTATTGAAACAATGATTATATTTGCATATTTTACCAATATTTGAATATTATACCAATATTTACATATGATACCAATATTTGCATATGTTATCAACATTTGAATATGTTATAATTATCAACGTAGATTAGATCAACTGCATCATCTAGCCATATGAATAAAAGACTTTTTTATTAAAACAATGTTTATGTTTGCATATTTTACCAATATTTGCATATGTTACCAATACCAATAACTACAACATCTAGCATATGTTACCAATACCAATAACTACAACATCTAGCCTTATAAATGAATTTCTGTGCGCTATATGAAGTGAAGTGAACTTGCATAAGGCGTACTCACATGGAGTGAAGTGAACATGAAGTGAAGTGCACATGCATATGGCGTACTCACATGGAGGAAGTGAGCATGAAGTGAAGCTGTCTCTTATACACATCTAGATGTGTATAAGAGACAGAAATTACCCTGATTAAAATTAACGAAAATCTGATAGATTATATTTTTTAACATCATTATATTCTCGCCAGACACGTTTCTCTGAAGATCTTAATCTTCAATAAGGCAGAAAATAAGAGAAAACAACACTCCTAACATTGAACTAGACGAGAGAATAACTGCTACGTGANGCAGGTTAGATAAAGATGCGCATGGTCATGTGTCGCATGGTCACCTGGAGGGTAGATAAAGATGCGCATGGTCATGTGTCGCATGTGCTGCATAGTCAGGTAGCGTTAGGTTATTTGATATAGAAATAAGGAAGGATTATAAAGTAAGAGTTTTTTAAACAGGAGAAAGAAGGATGCAGCGAACTATTACCTGACCAAAGATATGAGTAGAAAAACTAATGTTACAGCTACGAACCAAGTTTATCATGTAATAACTACAATCAAGTGTTCAACAGCCTTACAATTATCATATCAGGATCAGGGTAATTTTATTAATGTGATTAAAAATGACGATGATCAAATCTACTTTATTAACCCATGCCAAATAACGATGCTTATATAGATATATACATTCAGTTTTCAGGAATCATCTCTATCTCGTTTCAGGAGATCATACAAATTATCATCAAAATCAGCATTGATTGTCAATGCATAAGGAAAAAAATTGGGGTAATCTCGTAAGTGAATTCGAACAATGACTAGCCATTATAATAACATTACATTATAATAATATATATTACAAACCTGCTCCATGAGAATGAAGACCGGAGCGATCTCGTAGGTGAACATATTGATGTTGGCAGCAGCCGTCAGCCATTCTCCGCCCAGCGATATCACCTCCAGCCCACACGACAGCTGGTTCATGAAGCGTGGATGTCCTGAAACACATCAATATTAAATTGAACTCTAGCCCACATGACAGCTGGTTCATGAAGCGTGGATGTCCTGAGACACATCAATATTAAATTGAATTCCGGCCCACACAACAGCTGTTTCATGAAGCGTGGATGTCTCGATTATTATAAGAATGTGTGATCAGGAATGGGAATCCAATGTCGACACACATTACAGGGTCATCAATATTTAGCGTTACAACTTTGAGTGGTTAGAACTATGAAATGAAACACAATTGTGAATGTTTGAAAATGTATTTATGTAGGCAGAGGTTCAGAGATACAATTCCCACAATTTCATTCAATATGTCTACCATCTGCATCAATAACGAGTTGTAGACGCTTTGAGAAAACCTTACACGAGTCACGAATGACACTCTGCGGGATTTTGGCCCACTCCTTCAGCAGTTGACCTTTAGGGCGTCCAAACTGTGATGGTGAACGGTCGAGACCTTGCTCTCAAGGTATGACCAGATCCCAAAATCCACAGAGTATTCAGATCGGGTGACGATGGGGGCCATTCATCTTTGGTAATGAAGTGGGGAACATTCTCGGACAGCCACTCCTGAATCGATTTGGCCCCATGGGATGGTGCAGAGTCCTGCTGGAACGACCAGCGACGTTTTCTGAAGTGCTTTCATGCCGAGGGCAAAAATGCACCAACAAGGATGGCATCTCGATAGTTTTTCTGATTCAATTTCACCCCTTTGTTAACAAAAAAGAGGGGACTCCTTGAGGACTCTGTTACGGCTGCCCAGACCATCACTGAGGTCGGGCATTGCTTCCTAGTCACCACACGGGATCCTTCGTCCCCATTCTTCGACCAAATTCGATCATTTTGGGAGTTGAAGTGGTGTTCAACATTGAATATCTTCTCATCACTGAAAACGAGGTTTGGCAGCGTGCTATCATGAATGCGGGAAAGAAGAATATTGGATCTTTGGAGGCGTTTGCCAAAAACTTGAGCAGCCAGTTGGTTTTTTTTTGGCACCATAAAGATGATAAATGATAAATAATGATAAATATTATTGAGAAGGTGTAAACAAATGACAAATGTCGAGGACAATTATCAACAATTGATTTTGAAAAAATGTAACGCTAAATATTGATGATCCTGTACAATTAAAAGTTTGTAATTTTGTCATAATAAATACACGATAACTTTTAAAGCCCTCGCGCATGTATTATGAGCGTTTATTTGGTTTATGATGCTGCTTTATTGACGTAAGAAATTTGTCCTTTGTATATACGTAATAGATTATGCTGAGAGCTCCTTTTTAGCCTGTTTATGGGCCGGTTGTGGCACCTATTAAAATAATTCAATTTATTGCACCTTTCATAGGTCCGTTATGTCTCCACTACAATGACCCTTTTCGTACTCTGTTACTCATTTCGTACTCCGATACCTATTTCCCAATTCTGATGATAAACATATTATATTTTCCGTTATATCATCACTATATGCGATGGCCCGTTACGCCATCCGTTACATAAGCTTGTCACTCCCAGCTCGGTACACCTTGAATTTAATGTGTCATGTCATATGGTCGAAATAGTGAAACACTTGCTGATCGTAGCACTGATACAGGGTAGCAGGGGGTAAGAATGACTCACACAGTAGCAAAAAGTGCATCGCTATTCGGACACAATCTAACTCATTTCTCTGAGTGTACCATCGGCGTTACAAAGAGGAGCCAGATCGCAATTATTGAGAGGGACTGTCAGCGATGCGAGGGTCGGTGCATTTATTAAAAGAGGACACCGTTTATACTCGAGCCAATATTAGCCAGCTGCGCCCAAGACAGATGGTCTTTACTGAGAGAACTCATAGGGAGGCCGTAAAAAGTTTAATTACGAAGCCCTTTGGAATGTTATTGGATTAGGCGAAAGCGGTTGCGTAAGACTGCTCCCCGTGTACAAGAATGCCAGCTATGCGAGTTGATGGAATTCAGAGTCGCTGGATTAGGCACACTTGAAATATCTTTCTACGTCACTGCTGCGCAATTATGTTCTTGATTCGCTTGAAGTTTTTATAGCCTGAAAAAATGTAGGAGGGTAAAAATTGAATATATTGTTTGTCGAAAATACTTTTTATGTAGAGAATAACTTTGTTTGATGGGGAACTTGGACCTGGCAATGAACAGATTCAAACAAAAGCCAAAAGTTGGAGGATTTAATTGGTTACGTTATTGTCGAGTGTTCTTCTCATGATCGCTCAGATTATATGCATAATTCCCAATAAATTGAATTATGAAGATTGTGCAGCCTATTGAAGTATTTTTGACATAAACTAATTTTATTGACAACGTTTTCTGGGATTTTGACTACGGTGATTTATACATAATGCTCTATTTTCCCTTCATAGGACCAGAAAAAAATTTCAAAGGAATTCCAAAAGCAAGAAGAAGCCTCGAAAAATCCCTCTATCTGTGCAGATAACGTTTCGAAATCTAGCTTTATCATCAGTTCGAGAATTTTGCAATACAAGTGCAATAAGTTTGAGAAAACATGATAATAAACCAGATGTCAAATTTTATTGAAAAATAATTGACTCGGCAACAAGCAGGCAAGTAGATCGATCCAAAATTTATGATGACTAGTTCGAATTGTCGGTTTCATTACATTTTTGGCGTTTAACATCTGTTTAATTTTTTAATTCCGGCTAGGCTAATTGTTGGCATTCCATAATAGAATTTGTGAACTGACGATTGAGCTGGAGCCCAAATTTGTTATAGAATATTGGGATTATTTTCGGCATAATATTTTTTTAAATTCAAAGGTAAATTTGAAATTCAAACATTTAATTGATGTTAACTCATCATATACCTGTTGCCGCATATTTCTCATTTTCACATTTTTTTCACTATATTTTCGGAACGAACTGTTCGTTTTTTAATTTTGGCTGGCAACGTCACGATCATATTTTCTTGGAGCAGCGTACCAAGTCCAGGCACACAAATGCTACGATGCACGCGATCTGATGGTTTGTTTTTTATTTAAACTGTATTCACGTAATAATTTTCTGCTAGTAATGAGTTTTAGTATAAGTTTTATCATTTATTATTATTATTATTATTATTATTATTATTATTAATATTATTATTAATATTATTATTTTTATTATTATTATTATTTTATTATTATTATTACTGTTAAGTTTTAAGTTCTTACGGTACTTCGTCAAATATATTGTCCGCCTGGTGCGTGTGTGTCATGCGCAGCATAGCTATAGTCTATTTTAATTAACGGTTATGATTCAGTTCGATGCTGGCTCTCGACTTACCTGGTTGAGGGAAATATTTGGTACGTATTTCAACGTGCACTGAATATTTACCTGCGATTTTAAGATGCATGTGTTCATAGTCGAAATAAAGTGTTTTACTTAGCTTAGTTGCCACATGTGCAATACTAATTTTACTAATCTTCCCCATTGTTTTGTTTGTTTCGCAGAAACCGATTTTAATAAGGAAGTACGAAAAGTCGCGTTTTTCAAATCCTTCGTAACGAATAAGATGCTTCAATTATTATTATAACTTCTATTATTAGTATTATTGCCATATTTCATCTTTTTTCCTTCTTTTGAAGTCATTTCTTTGAATTTTCTTCATCGCACAGTTTCGTAACTAGCCAATTTCATGTAATGTGCAAAGCTTGGAGCACAGATGGCGTTCCGATAGCCGCAATCCCGCAGCGCTTTGAAGTTAACAGCGGCGCCAAACTTCCGTAAATGCCGCCTGCTTATCTACGCAGCCGGTAGCACCTTGCGGTGTAGCGGTATATGCACTTAGCGGTACAGCGAATAACCAACATACAAGGATTTTTGTGAAGAAAACGAAACATTTAAATTTTACGGCTTGGGTAATAGGTGATATTGAGAAAATTAATGATGCAGAGAATGAAAATTTTGGATGGTGAATATCGTGACCTCAATTATATTTATATCTTCAAAGAAAAGTTTTATTCATAATAAATAAGATCTTTAATTACTAAAAAAAAATATTATAAGTTCTTGTATATATATAATATTGGTAAATAAACAATTTAATCTGAATAAAATAAGATCGATTCATTCGCGCTCTTTAATTCAAACTAATTCTGGAGTGATAAAATATCTATTCTATAAAACTAATTCCTGTGTAATTTAATATCTATAAACATAAACTACTTCTACGACTTCTAAGATGATGAATATCTATTAGAAAATATCTATGCCATTTGAACTAAACGGTTGCTAAAATGTCTATGCTATTTGAACGCTTCATGCGTGACAAAATAACTGTTCTATGTGAACTGGTTCAGGAGCGATAAAATATCAATTCTATATGAACTAGTTCTGGAATAATTAAATATCAATCTAACATAAACTCGCTATATAGGGTGCTTAAATATCTATTCAATATAAACTGGTTTTGGAATAATTAATATCAATCTAACATAAACTCGTTCTAGGGTGCTGAAATATCTATTCAATATAAACTGGGTCTGTACGACCCATAAAAGTCCCACGGGAGCGTCGGGAGAGGATCTCTGTCATATTTCAACGCTAGGCTGACTTCAGGGGAGACGATTTTATTCCCAGAGGAGGCAGGCGAGGGCTGCCTGTAATAGCCCGTCTGATAGAACCCTTATCTTAGGCTCATTTTCAATGGACCCTCATATATCTCCTTATACTCTGAGGACCTCTTAAGAGATAACTTCGCCGCAACCAACATTGTGGGGTGTTTGCACCCCGCCACAACTTGGTGTTGGTGTTAATTTGTATTTAAATCTTAGTTTTGAGTGATTTATTTGTCGTCGGCAGTGATAAGAATTATACTTGTCTGAAATTTTAAACGGGAATCATAACATGACTTCGATTTGCCGGCAAATACAATTTTTCCTCAAGTTAGTTTTGCAACTGTCACGCAAAAAAAAACAATATTGCAACAAGATGCCATCACTCACAAAAAAATCAATAGCTGCGACGATGAACTACTATATCTTTC